CCCCCCCCTCTCCCCTTTCATTTCTCTTTCTGTTGTTGTAATTCCTGCTCACTTGAACTCGAAAGGCTGAGGGCTTTCTGCCGCTCTCTGCGTTTGGCTACGTGGAAAAAAATAACAATAATAATAATAATAATAATAATAATAAAAATAACGACAGTAGGGAAGGGAGTTGGGGGGGGGGGGGGGGACGGGGACCGGACCTGGAGCTGAGACCGTGGAGAAGAGCCGAAGTCACGTTCAGGATCACCGTCCGCTATGTACAACCGAGAGTCCGTGTCTGCGAGTGGAGCCCTTTAGGAGCCCAGGTCCACCAGGCTGGAGGTGAGCGGCCCCAGCAGCGAGTCCTGGAGCTGATGGCCAGGGAGGCTGTGCGTGCCCGGGGGGGCGGGCAGGGAGCTCAGCGGGTACGCGGAGCTCCTGCCGTGAGCGAGGTTCCCCTGCAACAGGAGGACCGAGTTCTGATCCGGGCTCTGCGGCGGTGAAAATTCTTCCTCGGAGCTGGACATGAGGGGTTTGCTCCCGTCCAGAGGGGAGAGCTGGTTGGGTTTGTTGGTGGCCGCGTTGTTGTTCTCCGTGTTCTCCCTGCGAAGGCAGAAGCACAGCGGGCGGTCAGGGCGGGGGCCTCCGGGATGGGGGAAGGAAGGGAAAAAAAAAAAAAAAAAAAAAAAAAAAAAAAAAAGAACGCGCCCAGTATGCTCCTAACGGATCGTCCCGCAGCTGCCGGGCTCGTCCCCTATTTAGACAGCTGCTGCACATCGCGCGTCCCGGAGCTGCCGGGAACCGAGGTGAGGAAGGACGAGGGGACTCCGCCGTTCCTTTTCGTCCGTCTTTTTCATTGCAAATCCCAGCGCGGCCCCGCGGGCCCGGGAACGGCGCTCGGTGCTCGGCGGGGCCGGGAAGGATTCTCGCCCCGCGGGGCCGCGGGCGGACGCGGAAGCGAGAGGAGATGCGGGCCGGGCCGCAAGAAACAGCCGCCCCGAGCCCACACCGCGCGGAACCGCCGGAGATCCCCCCGGGGCCGGCAGCTGGGCCGCGGCGCTCGCGGCCCGGAAGGCACCGAACAAAGGCGGGGGCGACCCGGGAGAGCCGCCGGAGAGGAGGGGATGGAAGGGGGGGATCGGTGCCCACGGGCAGGTGGGACCGGGTCTGGACCGTCCGGCGGCGGCGGCTCCGGTGCCGCGCGTCCGGCGGAGAGCGCAACGCGGAACGGGGCGTCGGGGGGATCGGGACGGCTGTCCGCTCGGGGCCGGGAGGAAAAAAGGGACGAAAGCGGGAGGGGAAGGCACGTACCTCTCCTTGGCCTCCGCCGCCCGGTCCCGCTGCCGCCGGTTCTTGAACCAGTTGCTGACCTGCGTGGTGGTGAGCCCGGTGGCCTCGGCCAGCTCCCGCTTCTCGCGGGGAGAAGGGTAGGGGTTGTGCGCGTACCACTCCCGCAGCACCCCCCGCGACTTCTCCTTGAAGCAGTAGCTCGTCTCCTCGCCGTCCCAGATGGTGCGGGGCAGGGGGAACTTTCGGCGCACCCGGTATTTGCCCACGGCTCCCAGCGGCCGCCCGCGCAGCTTCTCGGCTTCCACGTAGTGCGCCTTGAGCCAGAGCTGCTGCAGCTTGGGGTGGTTGTGGGGCGAGAACTGGTGGCTCTCCAGGATCTTGTAGAGCTCGCGGAAGTTGCCCCGGTGGAAGGCCACCACCGCTTTGGCCTTGAGGACGCTCTCGTTCTTGTGCAGGTGGTCGCAGGCCGGCAGCGACCAGAGGAAGCGGCCCAGGCGCTCCAGGTTCCCCCCCTGCTGCAGCACCTCGCACACGCAGGCGACCTGCTCCTGCGTGAAGCCGAACGACGGCAGCATCGACATGGCCGGGGCCGGGCGCCGAGGGGCGGCTCGGGGCTGCGTGCGGCACCGGGAGGCGGCGGAGGGGCGGGGAGAGCCCCGGGCCCGGT